TTAACGAACAATGATCTAGTGATGTAAGCCAAGATAACGAACAATGATCTAGTGATGAAAGCCAAGATAACGAACACTGATCTAGTGATGTAAGCCAAGATAACAAACAATGATCTAGTGATGTAAGACAAGAGAACCACTGTTCGATACTAAATTCGCTCGTACGAACATATATATATGCATATATACAGTATCAGTTACAATACTCCTATTAGGCCTACCGATCCCTCCGGTTTGGCAACAATATTAAAATCATTTTAACAAAGGGAGTTCATGCACGCTAACTAAAATAATGCATGTTCATGTTTCTGTGATGTTCCCTCCAGAGTTCTGTTCTTTGTTCTTTGTTCTAAATGTTTTTTACTTACACGGCATCTGATGATTTGTCAAATATAACTAACAGTTGACAAACATTGATTCAGTAATGAAAACGCCGACAACCGCTGTTCGATAATGAATTTGCTCGTCAGAGCATTATATACTTAATACGACGTTTTTTAAAATAAGGCAGTAAACTGAAAAAGTAATACTAGTCCTGTCCATCCCTCCCGTTTGGATAAAAATTTATGACATTTGTTTATAGATTTTTATCATCTGTCAAGAGATTACTTAACACTGGGTACACACGCAAACATGCATGTTAATGTTTCTATATTGCACTTTCGAGGGTTTTGTATTTAGCGCTAAACGTAATTTCCTGAATAATGACGACTTACTATTCTATTTTGTAGTATTTCGAAGAACCAAATTGTCTTCGCCTCGGAATTAAATGCTATCCCGGACGACCGATTTGTCGGTGTATCAAAATAATAGCCATTTCGTACGACCAGATTGTCATTGAGAGGGAGCAAATTGATCTTTCGTACGACAAAATTGTCATTGGAGGGGAACACATTGATATTTGGTACGACCAAATTGTCATTGCATTGGAAGACAAGAGGCCCAGAGGGCCTGTATCGCTCACCTGAATATAACTAAAGTAATTGGTATGAAGTAAAGATATAGCACTCCATGGTAGGTGCTGTTAGTACATATGAAATTTCAGAAAGATCCATCCAGTACTTGAGATATCGAGAACAAACTTCAAACAGAGCCTCACCCCTATGCCCCTACGGGGGTCATACCCACCAATTATACAAAATTGAGTCACCGTCACCCAAGGATGCTCCACACTAAATAAGGATAAAATCCCTTAATCCCGATGGTCGGAGAAGGATTTTAAAGGTTTTACCTATATTTTCCCGATTGGGGCCCACCTCTCTGCCTACAGCGGGGTCAGACACACCGTTTATACAAAATTGGTTACTCTTCACCCAAGAATGCTTCAGACCAATTATAGACAAAAGCCTGTCATTTCTACCGAAGAAAAAGGTTTTTGAAGATTTACGTCTATTTCCCCAATTGGGCCCCACCCCTCAGGTCCCAGGGGGGCCACACCAACCGTTTATACAAAATTGGTTCCCCACTACCCAATGATGCTCCACACCAAATATGGACCAAATCCTTTCATTCCTACAGAAGAAAAAGGATTTTAGAGAATAATTTGCTATGTTTCCCCTATTGGGCCCCACGGCTCAGGTACCAGGGCCAGATCTACGGTGTATGCAAAATTGGTTCCCCCTCACCCAAGAATGCTTCAGACTAAATATGGAACAAATCCTTTCATTCCTACAGAAGAAGAAGGATTTTAAAGAATTTGCTATAGTTCCCCTATTGGGCCCCGCCCCTCAGTCCCCAGGGGGGCTAGACCAACCATTTATACAAACTTTGTTCCCCTTCCCCCAAGGATGCTTTTGTCCAAATATGGAACAAAGCCTTTCATTCCTACAGAAGAAGAAGGATTTTAAAGAATTTGCTATAGTTCCCCTATTGGGCCCCCCCCCTCAGCCCCCAGGGGGGCCAGACCCACCATTTATACAAACTTTGTTCCCCTACCCCCAAGGATGCTTCTGACCAAATATGGACAAAATCCTTTTATTCCTACAGAAGAAGAAGGATTTTAAAGAACAATTTGCTATATTTCCCCTATTTGGCCCCGCCCCTCATGATCAGGCTCCTGGGGGGCCAGACCCACCATTTATACAAAATTGGTCCTTCTTCACCCAAGGATGCTCCACACCAAATTTTGTTAAATTCCTCTCAGTGGTTCATGTCTAGTAGTGTAAAGTTGACGGACGACGGAGGCAGGACGACGGACGACGGACGCTGCGGTATGGCATAAGCTCACCTTGGTCCTTCGGACCAGGTGAGCTAAAAATGATATTTTACACGACCAAATTGTCATTGCGTGGGAACAAATTAATATTTCGTATGACCAAATTGTCATTGCAATAGAAACAAACAGATCGTTCGTACGACCAAATTTGTCATTGCGTGGGAACAAATAGTGAGTTCGTACGACCAAATTGTCATTGTGTAGGAAAAAATGCACATTGTTTAGTTGGGGGAATAATACGAACTTTCATCAGCGATACTAATAATCTTTGAAACGAATTGGGTTATTGCTCTATGTCATGTCGTTTGGGGTCTCGCTACATCTTTTAAGTGTCTCATTTTCAGCATTTGAATCAATGATGGAAACTTATCGCTGTTCGAGTAAAGGTGCCAACACTTTATGTATTCATCCCATAAAGACAAGATGCGGAAAGTAACCTCATAGCTATTTGTCAATAAGATCATAATATCTATAATAGCGAGGAACTGTAATCAGCGAAATCACTTTGTGTCGAGTCCGGGATTCATTAGTCAGAAGGGATTTTCACAATGCGTTATCTATCTACATGTCAGAACTAACAAAGACAGTTTCTCTCAACTCGTTTCGGGGGTCAATGTTTTTTGGTCGGTGTAGACCTTTCTTGATAAAGTGGTAATTCCTGTATCGTTTGAGGAGGCTACTTATGACAGTTCTTGTGCGAGGTCGAGTCGACTTGGTAAATAAAAGACGGTGCACATATCAATATTGTGATTACGACGTAAGATCTGTTCACGGAATTTAATCCAGCCCGTCATGTCTGTAGCCGACCGCGAGATGGAAGAATCTATCAGTGTACATTCATATCGAGGAAGCGAAGACTAAAATGTCGGTGGCAGCATTGCCACCGTTATTGACATAACTGATCATGGTCCTTTTTATGTCGGGGACCGAGATCGATAGCACAAGTCTTAATGTAGATATCGCAGGGAGGTGTTGAACTAGGCTGAAGTCGGCAACATGCATTTTTTCACTCGCGTGTTTTAGTTGACATTGGAGATACAGGGATCTGACATACACCTTCAAGAATACGTTTCCTATGCATACATATTCTTACACAAAGTATAGGTGTGTATAAAATTTATCTGAGAAATTAAACGGAAGTGATGACGTGGTTGAATGGGGGTAACCTACAGAAGGTGACGGTGTATATTAGTAACAGATGTGGGTCAAGCTTGGTATTGTACTGTTTAAGAACTCATCGGCAATATGTGTAATTCAGGGGCACCGTGAAGTTAGCACCGGATTCGTTTTTCGTTTTTTGTTATTCGAATAACAAAAAACGAAAAACGAATAACGAATAACGAATAACGAGTTTTCCCGTTATTCGTTGTTCAATTTTGTTTTTCGTTTTCAAATACCAAATAAGAATCATTAGTGTTTTTTGGATATCCAGATAGCGACTCTAACACGCCAAGGTCAATTACGGCAGTGTTTTAGCGCATGAGCTCGAAAAACGAAAAACGAGTTTTCCCGTTATTCGTTATTCATGTTTTATTTTCGTTATTCAAATAGCAAATAAGGTACAGCAGTGCTTTTGGATATCCAGTTAACGATTATAACACACCAAGGCCAAATGGGGCAGTGTTAAGGTGTATGAGTTCGAAAAACGAAAAACGAATAACGAGTTTTCCCGTTATTCGTTATTCAATTTATTTTTGGTTTTTCGTTTTTCGTTATTCGTTATTCAAATAGCAAATAAGGTACAGCAGTGCTTTTGGATATCCAGTTAACGATTATAACACACCNTTATTCGTTATTCGTTTATCGAATAACGAAAAACGAAAAACGAATCCGGTGCTAACTTCCTGTGGCTTAATTGGCACGACAGACGAAGCAGTAACAAGCGGATGTCAAATGTGAGAGGATAACCGAATGGGGTCAAAGGTGAGAGAGCAATAGATGTTGGACTCATGTCAAATGTGAGAGTAACAGAAAGGGGTCAAAAGTGAGAGGGTAGTAGACGTCTGACGGATGTCAAATTAGTTGCGAGAGGGTAACAGACGGATAAAATGTGAGAGTAATAGACGTCTGACGGATTTTAAATGCGAGAGGGTATGATACAGGGGTCAAATTTGAGAGAGTAAGACGTAAGAAGTTGAGGGGGTCAATGTTAGATGGTAACAGCAGGGGTTAAAGATGAGATTAATAGACGTCTGACGGATGTCAAATGTTAGATGGTATAACAGAGGTCAAAGTTGAGAGGGTCACAGACGTCTGACCGATGTCAAATGTTGGATGGTAACAGCAGGGGTTAAAGGTGAGAGTGTAGGATGTCAAAGGTGAAAGAGAAGTCTAACACAAGGTCATAGACATACGTAAAATTTGAGACATTTGTATAAGGATGTCAAATGTGAGAGGGTATTTAACAGAGGTCACAGATACGCATTGGACAATAGACAGTCAAAGGTGAATGTAAGAAAAGATAGGACGAACATACTTTGTACCACATGAAATGAAATATCTATCAATATTAACAAGATTTAACCTCAAAACGAAAATTACACTGTATCATCAACTGAACTCGATCCAGAATACTTTGGAGTTTAATCTCGCCAATACTGATTTCTATCAGCCTAGCTAAGCGTGCAGGTGTAAGCCGATATCATTAAGTAGTTCATGTTGTACATTTGCATTTTTTGTTAATAAATGCGTTTTAAATTAATGTTTCTTAAAACCATTGTTTTATCTTCATAACCATATGAATTATTTAAATTTTAGTAACTATGCACAAAACACAAAGAACAAATCCAAAGCATTCATTGTTTATTTCTATTTTACATTGCACTCACATAAGTGATCAATTTATAGTGTTATCTGTCGACAAACAAAATCTACAGCCATCAATCGATCCTTACCACCAGATACCTATCACATAACGGAGTATTGGCGTTCTGTATTATGTTATTAGTATAGTTCTTACTCTGTACGATAGAAGAACAATATACCCAAGGAGATAAGATAAGACTTTAGTTTCACTTAATTCATGTTTATGATGCCTGAGTCTCAAAAACTTAAAGCAATATTTTTTTTAAGTCTCTTCCCTCTTTTATGAAACGAAAATCATGTAATTTTAAGTGCAAACTTTTTAATGATGGCATTCCTTATCAGTATTTGAACATAAAATAATACATACATGTACTACACACTCTTTGTTTTGGCATTAAGCTATGAAAACTCTACAGTTTATTTCATGTCTGTATACAAAAGTGTATGTAGACTCCTACAAGACACTGAAAATATGCAAACGATCAACATTCTAGAGTAATATATCAGCAGAATTGCCTTAATCCAGTTGACTTTTATCCAGCTACGATGTAGATTAATTGTTTAGACCAGCCATCATGCACCAGAGCTTTAAAATATATTTTCCATGGAAAGCAGTTCAAACTTTATAAAATAATATTTAGTTATACTAACCACATGTAGCACTGAAAAATTAGGTAACAATCCAATCTAGATGTTATTATAAACTTACGCATGATGCCATGGCATGGTGCAAGACAGCTTTGTTACAATAGAAGTATTACGTCACACATTCCACGCTCTTTTGGTAAAAGGGACCAAAAAAAGTACAACTATGACATCACAAACTTTACACTAAATTTCATGTATTTTAACTTATTTTTCAATTAATTATTCCGATCTCAAGTAGTTTTTACCAGAACATGTTTAAGTAATTTTGAGTATATTGATTAAGAAATGGGATCAGAAGAATTCCTTGAAAAGGAAGTAAAAACACACAGAACCTCTTGTAAACAAAACGTTTGATGGAATACTTAATGACACGTCACTGTATGTCCCCAAAATGTCAGCTGGTTGGGGTCACAACCTTCTGGTTCGAACAGGAAGTTTCCACTGTGGTATGCATTCAACCAATTCGTATTCTACAATTTAGCATCTTCCTTTTTAAGGAATAAATAAAAACATGAGTTATGCTTGAAATATTTGTATTGATTATTTACATCTCATTTTATTTCCAGCCCTTTACTGTGATCACAAATAAATATATAAATTAAAATCATCATCATTCAAATGCCTGAAAATGTTATACAATTAACATGGATGACATAAACATTGCCATTTCCTTGACATAAAGATGACTCTTCAATGTAGAAAAATGTAGAATGTTCGAGCAATTCACCGTTTCAAAAACCACGATCACAAAGATGTAATTTTGCTCTTTAGAACCACTCAAGCTCTAAGGTACATACATTTTTTTTACATTTTTTCCCTCACACAAGAACGAATTCCATAACTAAGGGTAGATAACTCATACAATTTGTAATAAAGAGTATATTCAACGATGATAAAACCGTCCGAGACGGGATTGAGTAATTAGTAAGATATGATGTAGGAGAAAACGTGGAAATGACTTATCCTTGACTGACATGCCCATGTATGTACAAGTATAATTTATATACATGTAAATACTTAAATGTCTCGTATCACCTGCCTACACACAAACAATTCAACTTTTATTCATTTTTTAAGAGTCTATGTCCCCAAATCATCCGATATGTCTCTCATATCATACTTATATCATTCTTCAAATACACAAACACAGATCATGAATGCTTCACAATTAGATGATACATTATATGTATCATGTATTTAAACTTGCCAAATTGATAATCCAGTGCAAAATATTTACAGCAGTATTTATGTATATATAAACGTACAGGACACTACAGGTACTGGTCGATATACTGGAGGTAATCACCCACTCATACAGTACAATATCTGTATTTATCAAGAATTCATTTTCTGTTATCAAAATCTTGTAAATCTTCAACATTTAGTTGATACAACTACATTTCTGCTAGAGCTATTTCATTATAAATTATGTGAAGGAGGCGAGTGGGACCTGTATTTAATTACTATTGTTAAATCCAAAACTTCCTATCACTCCTTCTATTGAATCAGTTTCAGCATTTGATGATTGATAGACCTCTTGAGAATAGCCTCTCACCACTCCCAAAGAGTATATCCTGAAACAGCCCTAAGTAAATCTTTGTTCAAAGACAGTCAATTTTTCTTTACAAAATACAGCTAGCATACAGTATGTCTTCATATCATGATAATTCTGATAAATATATAAACGGTAACATTTTCACAAAACCGATTTTTTGTTTATCATACAATTTCATTCAGCATTATCAGTTCATTCAGCATTATCTGTGTCCTTTTGATGCATAACTTAAAAGTTTTCTTGTATTTTCTTTTATATTTTTATTTCTTTAAGATGAAATTTATGCTTGTTAACAAAATAAATAAAACTAATTCGAAAATGAATAAAGAACACATAACACTTGCTGTTTTCTTTCCTTATTTTCTTTACAGTCTGATATTGTTTAATGTTTAAACCTACACTATTGATAGTCCATAGGTCTCTTCCATCCACACAAAGTCTCGTATGTAATCACTATATCTTTACATGTTGGACAATGTGTAAAACACAGTGATACATGTTTCCTTCACAATCTATAACATCCACAGATCTCCGTCTCTCACACTCTTCCATAACAGATATGCTCCCTCAACATTTAAGAAAGAAAATACCAAAACAATATTAGGTTTTTTATAAAGCACTACTAGGAAGCAGCATTGACCGTTTCCAATGATGTGACTACTGGTGCTACAACAGGAGACACAGCTGATGCTGAGATATTTGCTGCAGCTGCACTTGGATCCCCTGCAGCAGCCGCTGTTTGTAGGGGAAGAGTACCACCAACACCCTGGGGCACTTCTCCTGTAGCTTGAGTGGGGAGAGTAAAGTTCATGGGGAGGTTAGGGAGGGATGCAGGTGCTGGAATGGACATCGGCAGACCAGCTCCCGGGGAAAATGCAAAACTTGATGGTGCGGCACTGCCCACTCCAGGTGGTGACATTGTACTGCTGGAAGTCATACCTGCAACAAACACACAAGAACAAGATAATGCCAGTTATAACACATCAAATACCTGAAGATAAA